AATAATTAATCTTAGGACCTGATACAAAAAACTTAAAAACTGTAAGTAAATATAGTTCTCATCGGTTGAAACGTTTTGGAAAATAGACAGGATGAGTGATGAGTACCTATTAACACATCAAACGCCATGAGAGTCAACGGTGACCGGCGTTAGCAAAGGATTTGTCTGAAACAGTTTTTTTATTGGCAGTCAAAATCAAAACCTCTCTTACGATTGAAAATAGCCTTTACTTTCAAAAATACCCCGAAGTCTTATTGAAAAGGAAAAAATCGTCAAAATTGATTTAGTAGTTAAGGAGTGAAATATCTACAAACACCTTAATTTTGATGCCTTCTTGATGCCTTTTGGAAAAACCAGACAAGCATTACTATTCCAAGTTTTTCAACTAATCATTTCTGATTTAAGAATTTTATTTCTCATAAAAAGAGAACTTCACTTAAGATATGAGAAAACATGATAACTTAAAATTAAAGTAGGTACAGAGTGTGAACATGCGGGCGGTGCATCGAAATTTTTTTTCTACAAAAATATATAATTAATTAAGTGGGTATTACTAAAAATATAACATTTACATCATAACATTTTCTTTTTAAGGGTGGAAAATCATCGAATGACTGCTCCTGCCTGGGCGAGGCGGGAGGGAGTGTCAGACTCTTACTGACTAAAAACCACCTCGTTGCTTCTCCTGCACATCAAGCCGGAGCCCCGGTAACCCATTATGTTACCGATTTTTATGCAGATTTCAGGAAAGTGTTCATTACAATGAGGAGAAGGTTTTAGTAAATTAATTAACCGACTATAAAAGAAAGCGAGGGTTGAAATTGGTTTTTGTAAAGTTCGGTTTTCTCTCATCTCATTCCCAGTATATTTATAAATAAAGAAAAATTTATATTTATAAAGTCATTGGCCGAGTAGTCTATTGCATCAGCCGTTAGTTTCAGGTCGGGTGTGATATTTGGATCCAGACTCCGGTATATTTCTGTGATAATTTACTGTAAAAGGTGACTCTATAGCTTTATATCGCACAATAGGTACACTTCTGCCCTGCTCTTCAGAGTACAATAACATAACATAACGTCACGCCTGTTATCCCCGAAGGGGTAGGCAGAGGTGCACATTACGGTACTTAATGCCACTGCACAATGTAAAACCAACTTTTCACTATTTATGTTATGAGTCCCATGTAATAAGGGGTGAGTCTATTGCCATATACCGGGCACAATTCCAGACTCCGTGTTACTACTGGGAGATATATGAAAAAAAAGTCCAGTGATACTTTGCCCGACCCGGAAATCGAACCCGAGACCCCTTCGCCCGTCAGTCGCACTTGCGACCACTTGGCCAACGAGGCAGTCGAGGTACAATAACAAACAATGTAAAAATGTTAAAAACAAAATTAATAAAAATTACCCGCAGTATGTCACTGCGCAGTATTTCGATGCGGTGTCATTCACCAATCACATGCATTTTCATTTTATAGATGACTAGTTGTACTACCCGCGACTTCGACCGCGTAGAATAATAACATGAATCATGTAGAATTTCGGTTTATGAATTAGTCTTTTTTTATGCTGATTCAGTACCTAACATAACATAACATCACGCCTTTTTATTCCCTAAGGGGTAGGCAGAGGTTCATATTGCCACTGTGCAATGTAACACCCACTTTTCACTATTTGTGTTATGGGATGGGACTCCCCATGCAATAGGGGGTGAACCTATTGCCATATACCGGGTACAATTCAGTACCTAAGTTATGTTTATTTTGAAACGATGTGGGGCTGTACCTGAGGCCTTAAGTACGAGATTGTTTTACGCTTAAACTAAACGTAAAGAGTACACGTTCGGCGCTATGATTGGTTGCTTCATTGACGCCAGCCAATCAGATTGTCAAACGCGTACTCGTTTCGAATACTTTAAACGTAAATCAGACTCGGACTAAGGCCTCTGTACAGTGCTCGTTCCGTGAGGTTCCCCGGGTCGGAAACCATTATTGTACCGAATTTTGATCTAATGATAACAGTGGTTTAAAAGATAGAGAGGCCTGGACCATTAAACTAACATATTACTTTTCCCAGTATTGTTTATCTGTAAAGCGGCGTGACATCAATTTGTAACTGCCTCAAAAACTGTATCCATGACTGAATCCCTATGCAGCACCCGGCCATGTTCAATTGTAGAGTTTAATATTTATATTTATAAATAGGACTACTGCACACGTTACCCCAAACAATCAGAAATACTTATTAACAAACTGTCAAACACCGCGAGGTCACCGGTGACCGCAACCTATTGTTCTATAATTGTGTCTATAATGACGGTACTCGACAAGTTAAGCCTTTGACTACCGACAGAAAGTTGTTGAAGGCAAATCCTCCGCTAACGTAGGTCACCGCTGACCTACGTGGCGGTTAACGTGTTAAATAACCCAATAATATAATAACTATCGTGAGACATACTAAATTATATATATATATATATATATATATATATATATATATA